GGTAAAATTCATATTTATTTTCTTCGGCATCAAATAGAGTAACCCCCTCTTTATTAGAGCGACAGGGCGCAGGTCGAGGCGCGGGCCGTGGCACAAAACAACAAGGAGTGCAGGGGGTCTCCAGCCCACCCCCCTTGGGTGCTGGGTAGTACAGCGGGCCTGGAGGGTACTCTACAGGGGCTGAAAAGGCAACATACATTCAAGAAAAAGATAATTCCACGGTAACACAAACATTTTTTCAACAAAAGAGATGTTTCTCCGACAACGCAACTCTGGCGCTTACGTCTACTTATATGCAGGCAACAATGACGAAATGCATAAGCATGCAGATGCATGCACGCATATATGCCTACGTATAATATAAATGCGTGCACATATATTCATGCATGGGCTCAAAGCTTGTTTTCGCCGCAAATTCCACTCAATACGGCTACAAATCGAGTCTTCTTGCTGAAAGCTACTGATGCAAATCATAGTGTCTCCTATGCGTCTGGAATTCTGTAGTGATTCTTGATAAGTGCATGCGTTCAGTTCTCCTTTATGAATGGCTAAAGGCCCCTCGCGTGGGCAAATACCATATTACAAGTCTACAGAACGAAAACCAAAGAAACATTATCACCTTCAGCCAAAGGCCGCCGCATAGGATCGACATTCCACAGAGCAAATGGATCCAGAAAGGCGTTGTTAGCTGCTGCAATTTGCCGAGGGTCTATAGGGTGTTTCGCGGGCCGGCGCAGCTTTGCTCGGGCGGTGAAGTATTTGTCGCCCATTTGGGCCATGTGCAGCAGCAGCTGAGTCTGCAGAAATGCAAAAGGCAAGGAAGCCACAACAAAATGTAGGAAAACTAGACAAGAAAAAAAAAAGATGCAGTAGGACGGGGATATGCAAGAAAAACCAGGAAACGAAGGCATGCGGAAGGATGAAGAGATAAGTTAGTCACTGGCACTTGTCTGGGATCTGTCTGTACAGGTGAAATAAAAGGGGTGGGATGGCGGGAACTGGTCAAGGAGATATGTGACAAGTGGACAGCTGCAGTACAGCGTGTAGTGACACCCAGACGGGAGGCACTGAGCACCTGTCGCAGCCTTTGAATCAAACTGGGCATCCAAATCTTCACTTTCTCTTCCGTAGAAATTATCCAGCAAGCGGCCACTAAAGATCTGCGCAGGAAGAACAGATCCCCGAAAGAAATAATGTTTCAAAGCAAAACCAGGAAACCTAGAAATATACAAGAACGGCAGCTACACTAGAGACGCGCATGCAGCCAGCAACAAAGACACATAAAAGAATAGCAGATATACTAGAAATTCGCATGCAGCGGGACACATAGTGCTGCTGCTTCCAGTGCCTATCTCACTCAAACATGCTTGTGAAAGTCTGGACATGTGTGGGGCCCCCCTCTTCTACAGCCACAACGAAGGGGCCCAGGCTCATGCAGAGGCTGGCGAAGGCCGGAACTGCTGGGCCCGCCAAAAAGTTGTCCACTTCTTGGTCTACCCACAAAATTCGCCGAGAAGGTTCTATGCCAGCTTCCTGGACAAATTCAAAAGGGAAAAAGGAGAGAGAAAAACAAAAGAAAACGAGAATGAGGTGCAAGCAAAGCAAACACAACCAGCCCGTAACTTGCACAGTTCCGACACAGAGAAATTTCAGTCAGCAAGGATGCATTCTGGAGTGTAACGATGAATTCTGGAGTGTACAGACGCCTCGCGGCTTCTTTCCAAAAGCTCAAAATAACTCACTTCCGACATTTTAGTGAAGTAGTCAGTTGCATACAACTTAATCAGTTCGCGCCCCGTGGGGGCGTCAGACCTCTGCGGAACAGAAGTTCCTTCTAGGCATTCTCTCATGCGAGGAATGAGATGGTCAACTGAAAAGACAAAAAAGCATTTAAAGCATTTAAAAAGACAAGCCGAGAAACAAATTGAGAAATCTGCCAATCTGCAAAGTTGTGAAAGGATCGCGACAAAAAAGAAATGCCAAAGATGCCCAATGAACACAAAGTCTGGCAAGGAAAACAACAAAAATTGGTCAAGGAGTACATATTGATCTGCTACTGAGTCAGACAGAAAAAAATGTGAAGGCTCACACTTGTACCCCAGAAACTCTTGCAGATCCTGCAGTATGGCATTATCTTCAGCCACCCGTTCTGTCCTCAGTCTGCAGCCACTCACGAGGGGTAAAAGGAAGAAGAATGAGAAAAGAAAGTATCTTTTTGGCTTTCAATGATGGTCAAAGACATGCGTCAAGGGCTCTGGACTGCCAGCCAGGAAACTGGCTAGCTAGCTAGCCAGCTGGCTAGCCAGCTAGCTAGCTTTCTGGGGTGGTGGGTGTGTCGCAGTTACTTCTGGGTCCAGAAGATGTGCTCGATTAGCACGGGCATCCACTTGTAAAGGTTTTCTGTGTCTGCACTTTGGCAGCAATAGCCAACGCAGGCCTTTACGTATTTGGCCACGGCTTGGCGCGTGGGGAGGCTCTGAGCCAACGCCAAGTAGCTCTTTCCGAAAAGAAACAAACTCGAAAGAGAAGTAATTCTGTCTGCTCTCTTGCGAGCCCACAGCAGCCGCAGCGCCTCCTTGTCAGCCCGCAAGTCGGAAGGTAAGTGCAAGTCTTTAACATCAGGATACATTTCGTAAAAGTGCATTTCCGACATTATGTCGAGAGTCTTCCCGCCCAAAACTATCAGCTTTTCGTACAGCCTGAGAAGTGAAGACAGCCGTGGCACACACTACTTAGCTACACATGATATGCAAGACAAATAATTAATTAAAAATAATATAAATTGGCATTAAAAGAATGTAAATAAGAATAAGACTGCAGCGGAAACCCGGCAGCCAGCCCCCTCAGGATTCGCAGAAGTGCGAATTCGTGGAAATGTGTTTATATGCATGCATGTAGGAGTGCATGCAAATGCACAAGTATGAATATTCATTTAAGTCTGTTAAGCTGAAACTGCGCCGTTTCCGTTTGCAAGCATTTGCATGCGCATTCTATAGCTCTGCATGCAAACACCGTCGCCAGCAGCTGCAGCCAAAGCCCAAATGGCCGCGATCAGCAGCAGCAGCAGCAGCAACAGCAGCAGCAGCAGCAGTTTGGAAGCTGGAAAGCGTACCCGGGCCCGCCATTGGCTACGTCTGTGAAGCAGGCTTCGAAGTCTGCAGGCGGGAGCTCGAGAGGCAGATAGCCAAACCAGTTGGCGAGGTCAAACCAAGTGCAGCAGCGGCGGTCGCTGCAGACTTTCTTTGCTGCTGCGCGTTTGGCTCTGGGCCGCTCGCTGCGCCCGCCCAGGCTGTCCGACTCCGTCGAAACTTCGTCGGACTCCGTCTCAGAACTTGAATCATCGCCGGCAGCAGCAGCCAGAGCTCTCTCGGCTTCTCCTTTGGGGCAATTCCGCTGGTGGCGGAATCCCTCGGCGTACACGGGCATAGGCAGCAGCAGCAGAGCCTTTTTCCGGTTTCTGAGGACTTGGGCAAAAGCTGAGCCCGCGATCGGCAGCAACGCGCCGCACTCCGGGCCTGCTGCAGCCACTCCCAAGCAGCTCTGAAACTCCAGATGAGATAAAACAGAACTTGAAAGCCTTCTGAAGTCTTTTCAGCCCTTTCAGCGAGCCGCTGGACGCAGCAGATCCCGCACTTTGACGCATACAGCGCGGGTACCGGTGGTCGGCCGCGGCCCGCCCCGGCGTACGGTGCTGATCTCAAGGTAAAAAGCTTCTCTGGCTCCCTTTCTTCAGCTTAAAGGGAATAAAAGGGCTCAGGCAATGTTTAGTTTTCTGAAAATTAGGTTGATCTCCCCCGGTTTGCTGGTAAATCGCTTGCCGTCTTCTCGCGCGCCGTGAGGCCTCGGGCTGCGGGCGGTCAGCGCGCAGGAACTGATCTTGTCCGTTTTGTGGTTATTTTCGGAGAGGTGTCTGCCTTATTTAAGACACAGACCAATATTAAATGAAATTAAGGGGGAAAGAGCACCAATTAGCCACAGCAAAGCCCCCAGTGCCTTCCTCCCGCAGGCTCCGAGCCTCAGCCGCAGTGGAGGCCACGCCCAAACTGCCGAGGAATTCTGCCGCTTGTTCCTGACTGTACGAACACTTGAACCTTCGCATTTGCAGAAAAACAAACTATAGTTTTTGCATGATAAATAAAAATACTAGTGTACCATTTGCTGGCAGAGACAAACAGCAGGGCGGGCAGCAGCAGCAACTACCTGATGGCTCTGTCGGCTGGGCTTAGGGGCCCTGTCCGCCGGCAGCCCATTTAAATGATTCTAACTCCACAGCCCCAAAACTGCATGCATTAATTGGCATTAAAGTGTATTAGAAGGCGAAAAAGACTGAATAATCTCGGAGGGTGAAAAGCCCGCGGGTTTCATTTCCCTGTGTAGCCTCTCCCGCTTGCCTTGGGGCTTCTGGCCCGAAGGCCCCTGCCACTCTCACAGCCCTTTGTCTTGCTGCTAACCCTCAAAGCTGCAGCGCTTCGGCCTTAACAGTCTTCGCTTGGCAGTGGGGGCCCCCGGCTGTGGCTCCCGCGTCCCCTTCCCTCTCCGTGGTACAGCAGCAGCAGCACCAGCAGCAGCAGCAGCAGCAGCCGTTTTAGCAGCAGCAGCAGCAGGCCGCACTGCCTGCCCCGCAGCGCCCCTGTTCCTAAGCAGCAGCTACCCCCTGTAAGCCTGCTGCCCGCTGGCCAGCCCCGCTGCTGCTGTCTGCATGCAGCACCACAGCAGCAGCAAAATCCTCATCGCTTTTTGACAACGAGTGGTGCAGGCCACAGATGGCCTCTCGGGTCTTTCCTTAATGCCTTCGACATTGCAGCAGCCAAAGCCCCCTGCGGCTCACCAGACCAAGAGTTTAGGGTTTAGGGTTTAGGGTTTAGGGTTTAGGGTTTAGAGCTGGGGCCCCATGCTACGCTGCGCAGCCCCCACAAAGCCTAAACTCTCCCAGCAAAGATGAAGACAAAAACCCTCATGAGCCACAAGCCCTAAAGGCTGCTGCTGGGGGGTCCCTCGCCATGCAGGGCCTCTGCCACGCACTGAACCCTGTGGGGGCCCCCGGGGCCCCAGGGGCCCCCAGTACCCCAGGGGCCCCAGGGGCCCCCAGTACCCTAGGGGCCCCAGGGGCCCCCGGGCCCGTAGGGGCCCCCAGGGCCCCCAGCTCCGGGGGGGCCCTAAAGGGGAAGACCCCGGAGGCCCCCCCTTGGGCGCATTGGCTGAGGGGCCCCCATGGGGGGCCCCCTACGGCCACGCCGGTCCTGCATGCATGGAGGGGTTTGCCATGGAGGCCAGGCTGGGTTTGTTCGCTGCCTTTTGCTGCTGCTGCTGCTACTCGGCGGCAGCAGCGGCAGCAGCGGCAGCAGCAGCAGCAGCTCGAGCAGCTGCTGCATGCAGACCAGCCAGCGAGGCCAGCCTCTCTAGAGGCAGCCAAAAAGATAACACAAAAGCAGAGACCCTCCCCATTCAGATCTCGGGGGCTCCCCCCCCAGGGGGGCCCCCGGGATCTGGGGTCCCCTGGGGCCCCCGGGGGCCCCCCTGACAAAGGAGGTAATTTTTGCTGCTTACTTTAGGGGGGGCCCAGGGGAGCCCCGGGGCCCTCCCATGTAGTACAACAACCCCACCCCACACTTGCATGCAAACATGCAAACATGCATGCATGCATGCATGCATACAGTCGCTGCTGCAGAGTTGCTGGTTTGCTGCTGCAGGGCTTCAAGGACCTGAGGGACGTCCGTGGGGTGGCCCCTGGGGGGCCCCCCGCGTGACCGCCGGGGGCCTCTTGGCCTCGCAAGCAGCAGCAGCAGCGCGACAGAATTCAACTGATGAGTACTTTTGGCAGAGTGTGGCAAATAGGACGGTGGAGGTGGGCTTTGGGCTAGGGTTTAGGGTTTAGGGTTTAGGGCTCGAAGCTAAGAGTGCGGGCCTTTAGTAGGTGGGGGTTCCCTGTAGTCTGGTGTGCTGCACTTGAAACACGCGTCGCCGCTTCTACTGCAGCAACTGCTGCAGCAGCAGCAGCAGCTGCTGCTGCTGCTGCAGCTGCCGTTGTCGTCTGCATGCAGGGATGTTTGTGGCTACTGCGTCTCTTTGCTGCAGCTGCGAGACGAGCTAACAGCAGCAGAGGCTGCGCTGCTGCTGCAGACCCTAAGCAGAAGTCCTTGCTGCTGCAGCAGCGAGCAGTTTGCTGCTCTTCTTGCTGCTGTGATGCCGCGGCTGCAGGTGCTGGCGGATTCTTTTACTTCGGTGAGTGCAGCAGCCCCTGCCAACTAGGGTTTAGGGTTTAGGGTTTAGGGTTTGGGGTTTAGGGTTCGGGTGTTGGGCAGTGCGCTACTCTCCAGCAAGCTTATTGCTGAAGGCCTAAGCGACCGCACTTGAGGGTTTAGGGTTTAGCGTTTAGGGTTTAGGGTTTAGGCAGGAGGGGCTGCAGACTTCACTGGCTGGGGTTTGCTGCTGCTGCTGCTGCTGCTGCTGCTGCCTGCAGCTGCAGCTGTCTCAAGTGCTTTCTGCTGCTTCAAGGGCCCCCGCAGTGCTGCCTCCTTGCTTTTTCGAATTTGCTGCTCGCCGTCTCCGTTTGCTGCTTGCTGCTGGGGAGTTCCAGCAGCCTTTTGAACTTGCAATGGTTCTGAGTGCTGCTGCTAAGCTCAAGGTGAGCAGCAGCAGCAGGTCTTGCTGCTGCTGTTCCACCAGTTCCCGCCGCTGCTGCTGCTGCTTTTGATCGAGTTTGCGCTGCTGCGGCGGGGAATGCTGCCGGTCGCGGCGCCAGTTATGTTGCTGCTGTTCTTTGGGCTGCTGCTGCTGCTGCTGATGCTGCTGCGGCAGGTCGAGCTGCTGCGGTGGTTCATGGCCATGCTGCTGCTGATGCCGCTTTTCTTCGTGCTGCTGTTTCTGTGTTTGGTTCTGCTGGTGCTGGCCCTTTGCGGCTGCACTTTTGTGTCCTTGGCTTCTCTGTGTTTGCTGCT